TGGGTGGTGCGGCCTTATTGTCGGGAATAGTCCAGCAGCCGGCAAGTGGCTGCTGCAGAAGGCCACTGGGACCAGTCAGCTGAGCAGCGCAGATCTGATGGCCATGCGGCATCATCAAAGGTAGGCCCACCACCAGTGACCTGCTGCCTCCTTGTTGCCTCAGGTATGGCAAGTCCTCAGGCCGAGGTTCAACAGGCAGCTCCCCTCTGTCAGGAATCCACCTGGAAGACAGGAGACAGAGGTGTTAGATAAGGCTCTATGACAGTGATGGCGAACCTTTTGTGGCTCACATGCCAAAAACAGGGGGAGCACGGGTGGGCATGCGTGGGCGTGCCACACCCATAATGCTATGCGCACGACCCCAGCATGCATGCATGCACAACCAGTGCTCCCCCCCCATTTTTTGCATGCTTTTTTTCACCTTCCCCAAGCTCCAGAGGCTTTATAGGAGCCTGGGGAGGGCTAAAACAGCCTCCCTCGCCTTCCCAGAGACCCTCCAGAGGCTTCAGGAGCTTCCCTGAAGCCTCCGTAGTGTAAAAAACTGGCCCTATGGGCAAACCGGAAGTTTGGGAACAGACTTCTGGTTTTCTTGTAAGGCCGGTTTTAGCCATCCGGAGCCTTCAGGGGCCTTCAGGAGGATTCCCTGAAGGCTCCGGAGGACAAAAAACAACCCTATGAGCAAACCGGAAGTCACATCTGAAAATCATAGGCCGAAAATCAGCCGGCCACCACATACATGCGCTGGAGCTGACAGGGCAACACTTTGCGTGCCCTCAGAAATGACTCTGCATGTTACCTGTGGCATGTGTGCCATAGGTTTGCCATCACGGTGATAGTGTGTGTTTGTATGCGTAATTTTATATACATAAAATTTATTTATTTATAACTAATTTACAATATATTAGAAATACATATGATATATGGCATTTTTAAATCCCTAACTTTTTCATCGGTATTATATTAATTTATTCTTTTCATGTTATCTTTTGTACTTGTCTATATTTTTTCTTTAAACTGTCCAATTTTTTTGAAAAAGGAAACTGGCATGAGATTTTATGAAAGAATAGTGTCCGTGTGAGATATTTAAATTTATTTATTTGCTGTCACCAGACACTTACCTATAGAATTTTTGTAGACTACCTGTGATTCCTAGATCAAAGATTAGAAACCACTGACATAGGGTATGATAACAAGTATAGTAATTTGGGCCTTGAAATGTGCTAGCCTAAATTATAATTCCAAAAGTGTCTATGAGGTCTGCTGGCTGGGAATTCTGGGATTTGCTGTTCCACTTGAACTACATAAAAATGGAGAAGAAAAGAAGATCATATCTTCCAAAAGTGATCTGCTTATTGCCAAATTAATAAAACCTGCTTTCATAGCAACTGGATTTTACCACTAGTACAAACATTTGAATTTGGTTTATGTGAGAGTTGGCTACCTTTCCAGGATGTGCATTAGTGGATCGAGCACTACAACTTTTTTATGGTTGGCATTTCAAACACCAAGTCCACACGTTTGATCCAGTTGACCCGTATCTGAGACACCACATTAATGCTTTCCTTCTATATGAATGCAACCATTTCTGTCGTCATGAGGTATATTTCCTCATATTAGCATGTCCAATGTAAACTTCTAGCATTGTTAGTAAGTTAATATTGATGAATAAGGGAGTTGCTTAGTGAGGACAAGCTGTATAATGATTTTCTGCCTATTTTTCCATGTGAGTGAAGGATGGGCATAAAGGAAAAAATAGTGATAATAAACTTTTTAAATATAATTGATATTTTAAAAGATTAATGATAAAAGCAATACAAATATTAAAAAAGAAACAGGGAAATACAGAAGAATAGTGAATGTGAAAGTAGAGAAAGAAAGTAGAGAAAGAAAAAACAGAAGAAAAGATTTTAAAGAAGTAGCTTCCAATCTTCTTGACTATGGCTATAAATGCATTTATATTTTACCTCTCTCTCTAAGGATACATCATAATTTCTATCTTCCATAAGCTTTCCTTTCTAATTGACCAGCTCATAAATCACAAGTTCTTTTTATTTTTTTAGAAAAAAAAATCCATAAAGGTTTTCCAATCACTAATAAATGTAATAGTTGATCTTTTCTAAGCCTGTAAGTTAATTTTGTCATCATCCTTACTTTTATCATCTTCATCAACCATTCTTCTATTGTGGATATTTCAAAGTCTTTTCATTTTTGTGCATATAATAGTCTTGCAGCAGTGATAATACAGTGGTACCTTGGTATTCAATTGCTTTGAAATTCATCAAATTTGGTACTCAATGCATTTTGTCCGGTACTCATTGTTTATTTGGTACTCAATGCAAAAGCTAGAACTTGTCTGTGTCAGCTGCCTTGGCTCTCTACATTATTCCTTACAGGAAAAATTTGTTTGCTACTCCTTGTTTTTAGTACTCAACACGCCTGCCAGAACCAATTAATGATGAGTACCAAGATACCACTAGATATAAAAATATTTATCTGTGGCTCTTTTTTAGTTGTCTGTCCATTAATCCCAACAAGAATAGGTGATCTTATAATATGTTTCCCGGAAATATGACAGGGTCTTATTTTCTTTTGTCCCACGAAATATGGCCTTGGGTTTATTATCAGAGAGGGCTTATTGTTTTGGGGTTGCCGGGTGGCTGCTCCCTTGCATGCGGATTCCTGAAGAGCCGAGCACAGCCTCCTCAGGAGCGAAACAGCCATGTGGTAACAATGCTCACGAGCAGCCACACGGCAAATCCCCTCTCCAGCCGGGCAGAGTGCCATTCACTGACCTAGGGGGGGCATCACTAAGGCGCCAAGTCATGTGGTGCTTTCCCCGACACCCAGCTCCTGCGGCTTGGCACATTCGGGATACCCCCTAGGTCAGGGCATATAGCTGTGCCCGGCTGGAGAGGGGGATTGCGCGAGCGCCTGTTCTGCCCCCAGCCTCACCAAGCCCTTGCGCAGCTCTCCCAGGGCACCGCCACTGGCCGCCACCACCCGCTGCCACCACTTCCAAACTCCGAGCATAACTTCCAAACTCCAAAACTCGGGGACGAGTCTTCCAGCATCGGCCGCTCTAGGAGTGCTCTCTATGGTGGGCCAGCTGCTGGACAGAGAGTCTTCCAGCAACCGGCCCACCATAGAGAACACTCCTACAGTGGCCGATGCTGGAAGACTCGGCCCGAGATTTGGAGTTTGGAAGTTATGCTCAGAGTGTGGCGGTGGCGGGTGGCGGTGGTCAGCGGCGGTGCCCAGG